CAGGTCCATTTACCATTTACTTCTACAGCCATCATGGGGGAGAAGAAAACAATATCTACAGTATTTACCAGCATACACACTGACACACACATCAGTCATCAACACAGAGAGATGGAGAACAGAAAAGCACACACATTAGTTATGTTCAAAAAAACACTCAAACCCGGCTCAGCCAGTTATGAAAACAACAGGAAGTCTGTTTCTTGAGACAGGAAGTGGATGGCCGAGCCCTTCAGGGGCGTGTTTTGGGGAAACCTTCGCCTCTAAGAATAGTTCCAAGGAGAGCAGAGAAGAGACACACACTTTCCACAGTGGGAAGCCAACCACTTTAAATTCATTTCTCCATTATATGGTCAAACAACTAACGACAATTTATGCACTCTTATTAAATCACTGACCACATTTGGAAGCCTTTAGTGGACTATATACAAATGCTCATGTAACTCTTTAAAATCTACACAAAATCCACAATAGCTTTACAATTGTCCACATATGTATGTTTTATTTGAGTTAAAGTTAAAAATGAAAATACAATAATCTTCACATACAATGTTTCACATACTCATATAGGCGTTCTTTGACTATATTAAAATTACAATTTGTTGTTAACAATTTGACTTGGATTTGAATACTGTCCACTGTAAAGCAGGTTTAAGTCCTTGAAAATTAAATGTCAAATGCTGCTTTCATTTTAAAATAAAATTGGATTACATTTTTACCTAAATATTGCTTGCACAAATGTAAAAAAAAGTTTTTATTTTGCATTTTCATTCTCAAATTTGAATTAACATTTGAATATTGTTCGCTGTACAGCAAGTGCGAGTCAATTTTGAAACTTAAATGACAGCTTTTCCATTTTCATTTTAATGTGACAATGCAAATCGAATCATCGTACATTTTTACTCAAATAACACATACATATGTATGTAAAAGATTCTAACACTACTGTGTTATTACACACTACATTCTAATATAGTCCCTTACAGGCTTCTATAGCCAAGTAGTGTTAGTAAATTAGCAGAATCTGCTGGATGATTTGCAGCTAAATA